AGTTAACTATAACAGGAGGATAAGGGGTGATAACCTGTTCACTTCCCTCATTGGGTTTAGGGTTGGAAAGCAGAAGCCAGACACTTAGACATGCAGCTTTTTCGCCATTTTCGGTGTGGAGGTTTATAGTCTTGGGCCTTTTCATTGAAAGAGGTATCTAGAAAGAGTCTTCTCATTCCAAAGCTTTAGGGTTTAAAGTTCTATTTATGTTTGCTGAGATTGTTCATTACTAAACAATATATTTTTAACTGTACTCCTTAGGGACTGTGTGATAGAGCAAGATTGGGGTGGTTTATCCATTGCAGAAAACTAAAGCACTCTAATGTAGAAGAAACTCTATATGTTGAGGCTTCAAGCAATGAAGGGTTGAGATGTGTAAGTGACTCTTGAATATATAGTACTGACTTGTTGTTTCACTGTATTCCAATGGGTAAAATATTGTAATAGAACCAGTAAGAGTAAATATTGTTAGTGCTCAAAGAACCTTGTAACTAATTATCCATGTACAAAGGTTCTTTGATCTTCTGTGTTTGTCTGGAAGTTTTTGCAGGTCAAGCCAATTTGTAGGCATCACCCTCATACTGGGCACAGTCCCACACCCACCCTTCTCCCACCCTTCCAGAAGCCTTTTGTTTAGGAGGGTTGGAGGGCGAGGAGGTATATGGGTATTAAAATGCTCTAAGTTCCATCCCTGCAGGATATTCCAACAGGAAAGACCAGGAGGGAGTAGGCCATGACCTTTTCTGCTTTCGAGGAGGAAAGGCTGGTGGAGAAGAAGGTAGTTTGGCCATGTATGGCAAAAGGTGCTTCAATACCTCAGCCACACAACTGTCAGATGATCCCTGCCTTTCTTCCCAATGTCTGAGCTGTGCAACATCTGGTACATTCCCTGCCAACCTCAGCAGCTTCAGAGTTAGGAGTAAGACCAGTGGTTCATCATGCATACAGGAAGTCGATGTCACACTCACTGTAGCGGTTCATTGAGCAGAATGGTTGAAACCTGATCATGAACAACAGCAAAAAGGTCTTAGAATCTGAGTGGAATTGGAATTGCTTGTGAAGAAAAAATGCTTGCAGGGAAGGAGGGGGAATACTGATGCATGAGTTGATGGAGAATAGTACAAGGCTTTGGGCTAGCGTAAAGTAGGTTTATCTAGATCTGTGCATATAACACACATTTTATACTTCCTGGAGATGGGAGAATGTTCACTTTGTCACAGGGAAAGAGAAGAGGAGAAAAAAAAGGTAAAATATGTGCAGCCCTCAATCATGTTAACCTATTCTTACATTATGTTTCTTTGGGAGTTTAAACCTGTAGTATTTGTATTATACATTAATTCCTTGCTTGGCCTTCTGCAGAGGCAACTGTTGGATCATGTATTCATGACTAATGCTCAACCGTAGTTTAGAGTTAGAAGAATGAGCCTGGGCTCACATGCTCTCTCTTCCTCCCTTCACTTCTGATACAGCCTGAAGGAGAAAATTGGGTGGCATCCTTCCATTTTAGATTAACTGTAGCTTGTTGTTCTGTCTGAACCCTAAACTGTGATCAAGTTTAACTATGGTTTGTTGAAACAAGCCAATATCATAACTCATGGTCTGCATTTGGCTTGTTTCAACAAACTATGTTTAAGATTCATTCTAACTCAAACACAACAAGTTGTAGTTCAACTAAAACAAAAAGCAACAGTTCCATGAACTCTTTGTGGCCATACTGTAAATAGGGTTCCTGTAATGTATAGAACTGCCCTGGCTCCTCCTCCTAGGCACTTTAATGCAACATGTGGGGCAACGGTTTTTGGGACTTACCATACCATGAAGAATACCTTCTAAGAGTGACAAAGGGGAATGGTGGACAGGTGCTTCTGACTATGCTGGAAGAATCTCCACCATGGATTCACTCAGTTAATATTTTAATAAAGAAACCAAGAAATGTGATATAGTTTTCTCTGACATGCCATTTCTTAATTTTCCCCATCTTAAACACCGTAACACCTGCTGTTACATATAAAATCTTGGCTGGTAAAGAAAAAATCTTTACCAAAAGAGGACATATTATGACAGATAAATGTGCATGAAGAAAGAAAAATGCTTTATTTTGCAATTGCTAATTCCCCGTTTGAATATGCTACTGGCATTTGGAGAATATTGGGGTAAAACAAAAGGATCACAAGGAGAAAGAAAATAGCCACTAGGGTAGTTTCACTTTTCTCACATAAATCTCTACTGCAACAGATGAAAACAGTCTTTCAGACACCTTTGGATCCAACCTTTTGTATTTAAGTGAGGTATACATAGAATTCTTGTAATTCAGAACAGAGCTGGGGCATGATGACTAGCACTTTGCTGAAGTACATGAATGAAACCTGAGAAAACATGGATATGGGATTTTTCTTTTGAAAAAATGTAGCCTTCCAAGAGCTACTATTTTCTAGTATGGCCCAAAATGAATTGCTAAATACCATTTTCTTTCACCAGCTTTGTTGAATGACTGCTTCAGTCATATACAATGCTCCATTGTTGCAAAGCTAAGCAGTAGTGTGTTTAAAGCTTCTTTGGGATAAGCATGTTATATCATTTTTGTTGCATTTTACTTCCATGTAATTATTCAGGATGATAAGCAGCCATATTCAATTACCATTCCATGTTATACAACCAGTGTCATTCCTGTTCTTGCAGACACATATTTGACATATTTTGTTTCAATAGAAGGAAAAAAAATGGATGACTTGAATTATGTTTTCTTGTTATGCATGGTCACTGTAATTTCCTAAATGATTCTGTATTTTTCATTTTTGTGGTTGTTGTTTTAGTAACTTCGAAGATTCAGCTAGAATTGATTCAGCTTTCAGGACTGTACTGAGGCATGTTTTTATATTTGTCATTCAGATTTTTTTGTGAAAGGTAACCTTTGCAGGTACTCTGAAAGGCTTATAATTTTTCTAGACATGTTATTACATTATTGCATTAATGAGTCACAACAGGTCTTGCATTTTGCCATATATCTTGCCTGCAGTTGATATTCACTGACTTGCTAGTGTTGTTAATACGTTCCATAAAATATTGACAATATTTCCAATATGGAAAACGGTAAGAGAGACATTTATTAGCTTTGGTAAACATTGTGCCAATTTTTGTAATTTTCCTGAAAATAAATTGTTCCTAAAACTTGCCTTTACAACATTGTTTATGTTATTCCCTTAGTATATTTACAAAGCACTCATTTTCTGCTGCCACTGCTTTGGAATGGGTATGTCCCTATCACAGGCTAAAGGGTTTCTTGCTTCACTTTCTTCATTATGTAGATCTCATTATGCTGTTCCCCCAGCTGCAGTACCTCAGTCGGTCCTTCATATTGCACCCACATTGAAATTATCGGGTTTCAATAATTGTTTCATCCCTGTCAGCTGCATGTGGGTTGGCTTTCCCTTTCATGTGTTTCTTTCTCAATCCTGGCTCATAATGAGACCTTGCCTTCCTTCCTTGCCCGCACTTCTCAATTACTGGCAGTTCAGAATAGCATTTATTTCTTCTGGTTTAATCTTCTCTGTGGAAGTCCAAAGTGGCATATAGGAGCTTGTCTAATATTCATTCATGAAGAATGTCTGATTTTTTCTGCCAAATTCTTCATCACTTCATGTTGTTCCATGACACTTCCTTTTGTAAATAGCTTCTGAAGGAACCGCACTAACTTTCTTGTGCGGCTCCTTCCTCTTGTCATGCAAGCCTCTCAAGATAAGCCTGTAAATCAATTTCCGCATCTCCACCATCACAGTGGGTCTTGGTTGTTTTCACAAGTAGCTAACTTGCCTACATGTTACACCTTCAAGCTGCCATCAGCCACACAGCTGGCTGCTTTGGTAGAGATTGGGAAGCATTTCATTCAGTATTTCAGAGTCAGTGGGCTACTGTTGATAGATTGAATAGCAGTAGAGGTTAGCCATCAAAGCCAATGACTTTTGGATCACAGCCTACTGTAACAGATCAATTGAGCAGTCATAGAGCCATTCAGCAGAAAGTGGCAGAGAGCCTCAGCTGCTTATGTGGTGGAATCATAGATTAGCAGTCAACAGCATATGATGTGAGGGCTTCTTTGTGTCCTGAAAATGAAGAATGCCCCTCAGAATGAAAAATGAGTGACAAATATTGAGTGGCGAACTTTCGTTTAAATAACAGTGTACCTTGGTTGGCTTAGCCATGCCTCCATACCTCATTCATTGAAGCTCAGTGGACACACAAAGTAGAATAGACTATCCAAGTCACTAGAATTTTAGACAGGCTGAGATATGCTGTGTAATGTTCCTGTACCTTTCAGCACTATGCATAATGCAAATATGTGAAATATAAATTCATAGCTAGGGCAACTCTCCGTGTGGATGTATGGTACTTATCAAATCAACAAATGGAAGATCTTTTACCGGCATGTAAATTTTCAGAATTAGCTATATTATATTGCCGATAGTATATTCCTAAATTGGGCCCAGCACTCTTATTGCCCAACTCTAGACCACCTTTAAGAATTATAACGTAAATGATCCCTACAAAAATAAGTTTCACATGCTGGGTTCCTCCTTTTGAAAAATATATTTCTATTGTTGGAGTATTTGATGTGAATACTTAGGATTTACAAGCACTCTGTGTGTTTCTTGGGGGTTAACATCACAATCTTATGCACAGTTATCTGGAAGTAAGTGTCACTGAACACACTGAGCTCAGTTAGAGAGCAAAAATGTATGAAATTGCATGATAAATCTCCAGGGCCATGGCTGAAGAAATATAGTATGCTCTGGGCTTTTTTTAGGTACGTACCTGTCATTAGTATATGTGTAGCTATGGACCAAAGCCCTCTGAAATTCCCTCAAAGTGCTGAAAATAAGGTCATTTAATTTAGGTAGACGCATCTGAATGTACCTTTTCTGACTGAGGTTGCTGGATTTCAAGAAGGAATTTAACATCCAAGTCCTATTTAATACCCTAAAATGTTTGCTTGTGTTTTAAAGCTTTTCTTCATCTGGAGAAAAAGGAACAGCAGAAGCTGGTCTTGAATCAGTCCTCCATAGGGTCGAGGAAAAACTACTCTTTCACAAATGAAGAAGTGCGGCAAATTGATCAGGAAAACCAAAGGCTCTTAAAAGAATTGACAAAACATTCTACAAAGCCCAGAAGCAAAAGTGCCTCACTGAAGAACTCTTCAGGCCCAACAGCCAAGATGTACCACAGTGCCATCAACAGGCAGAGAGAACAGCAAAGGATTGACAGGGAGAATCTGGTTAGTGGAAGTTCTTGATCTATTAAATACTGTCTTCAATCAACTTGGCAGCTGCACAGATGGAACAAACCACAGGCAGAGCAGTGCTGTGCTCAGATTACACTGGCTGTGTATGTGTGTAGTTAACCACTCTGGGATAGCTACCTTGACTAATGTATGCTTGTCCCTGGAGGGGAGGGAAAAACACAACCAAAAACTGATTGACACACTGCCAGTGTCACTGGAAACATTACTAAGCCAGCCAGTGATGTGAAGTTATTCACGCACAGGAGAAGCCAGGCAGCCACTGGTCCTGAAGGAGAGAGGTGGGATTGCTAGCTAGTCATCCAAGCAGGACTCTTGTGCCTTTTGGCCGTTGCTTACCAGATAGCAACAGGTATTGTATTCCTAAAGCTCTAAGTCCATGCTTGGAACACTTTTACCTGTTGTATAATTGTTAAGGAATGTTCAAGGCGTCAGAGGAACCTGCATAAAGCAGGAAGGTTGTCAGCTTCATATAGGATCAGATAGTATTTCCATACAGTATCATAGGAAACTACAGCAATATGGTGCTTTTGTACTCCTGCCTTGCCTTTGGGCTTCCCATAAGCATCTAGCTGGCCTGTACAAGAGCAGAACACTGAACTAAATAGGCTTTCGGCTTTCCAGCATTGCTCTTCTTAAATTCTTATGGAAGAGTTTAGCATGCAGTTTGTATTCCTCCCCTGTTCTACCCATGACTCCACCCCATTTTGGCTATTACGTCAAATCTTCTCCAGAGAACAGCTCCACCATAGCAGTGATCCACGAAGATATATGAACTGTTCTATTGACATATCTGTCATGTATATCTCAAGTTCTCAAGTATATCTCAAGTATATCTCAAGTTCTCAAATGTAATAGCACCTTCTAAGTCTCTTTAGGAGACGGCTTTCATGTAGGATTACTCAGTAAAGTAGGTAACACTGTCACAATTGATAATCTCTTTAAAAGTGTTTAAGTTCATCTATATGCCCTTGCGTCCACTGATTTCAATTGAATTTAAGTATACTTGACTCTCTGCTGGTTTGAAGCATCACTGTACATGTCAAATGCCAAATCTTCATCATAATAATATCTTAATATCTAATTCATTCACATAATGTTAATTGTATATGAACACAGATCAAAATCTTTTGTGAAAGGATTTGTTCTAAAATAATGGAGGTCTGTTTTTCCATTCAAGCACGTTTGTCAACATGCCCTGTAAGACAGGTATAAGAAAAGAAGAAGAATTGATGTAGTACCAAAAAAGTATACTAATATATCAATGAAACGTAGTTAATATCAACCACAATGTAATGTGAAATGGTAACGATTTAGACTATGCTTATTTTCATTATCTTTCTTTGTTCCGTTATCACTGAATCATGGTAGTTACCATAGTAACACATCCTGAGGCAAATGAAAATATGCTTTCCTTTTTATAAGACTGGCTCCATTTGCGTGACACTTTAAGCCACCCTGCCCATAAGCTATGCAGTGCAGGTTGTTTGCGAAACAACTCAGAGTGCTCCTGACAGTCAGGGTCACCATGGCTTGTTCTCCCCCTCCTCCCCCCCTCCCCCCCCTCACTTCCAGCTAGTATCCTCCAGGACAAAAACATTTTGTTCCCCCTTCCTTGCTCTACTTGCTACTCCTTTTCATTTGCTTTTTTCTCTTTAATCTATCAGAGCCTCAAAAATGTCAGATGTTTTGACTTATTTATCAAAGCTTCAAAAATGTTCTATTTGGATCGTTGTTTTCAGCCTCAGAAAATTGGGTAGTTAAGTTGGTGGGGGGCGGTTGTTTTTGCCTTTATGTAAAAGTAAATGCTCAAAAAACAAGCAATCCCATCCTTCAGTTGGTCTGGCTCTGGATATTCTCCTGACATATATTATTTTGATGTAGAGCAATGGTAAATACATACAAATATCCCGAATCTGGATATACCGTTGGCTGATACGATGATTCTGATCCAGATTAGACACCAATCTGTAATTTAATATGTCAAGATCTGCACAAACATTGTACAGCAGCGCAAGACCTCTTTATTACTCAATTCCTTTCTTCCTACAAGTAGCAAAACAAACGAGGGAGTCAAATATACTTCTGGCTTCCGGTTGTGTCTAGTTAATGGCTTCCAAACCATTGAGGATTCAGAAGCTGACTTCAGATCTACTCCAAAGCTACCTTCCTTTCTAAACATTATGCTAGTTCTTCCTCCTCAATGCTGCCTGACCCCACTCTATGATTGGTGGAGTAGGCCTTACATGTACTTTTTCAAGTTTTGTATGATTCATGCATCGTACCAAGCAAACTGCTCAATGCTTGTCTTAACGGGAAAAACTCGGAAAATATGGTATTGTATGAGGCTGAAATTTTATTTCTAGTTCAGCTAGCAAAACCAAAACTGTTAATTTCAAGTACAGTCTCCATCTTGGCTGTAAAAAATAGTGTGGTTTCCAACATGAATGAAATTGGAGAACCTGAGCAGCTATCAAGACTCAGAGGCCAGCTCATTAGAAGTCTAGCACGCATGCATGCTCTTTCTTGAATAAAGGAAGAAGACGGGGGGAAGTAACTTCAGGTGTTATGATACTAGTCTCTCATTGCATTTCTTGGAATTCAGATAGTCATATATGGAATTTCCTTTTCTTAAGGTGAGGCTTGGTAGGATTGTATATGCAGATGCATGTAATGTTAAAGCTTTATTCTTGAGTCTCTAAGGAGCATCAGTGCCTGAACTGTTGCTGCTGTATTTTTCAAATGCTGCTCATACATTATTTGCTTAAGTTATTTTTACATTGTGGTGATTTAAAACCTTTGGAGGACTTTGAACTACAATACCAGGTTACTAGGTTTTGTTCTTAAGCCTTAATGAATGAGGAAGCATTTAAATTCAGAGGCTGAGGTCACACTTCCACTTTGAGGTGACCTCAGTCACCAGTTTCATTGTAGAGGTGTACTACAATTAGAGGAAACACTAATCCAGAACTGACTACACTAATCAATGGCTGAAACAATGCAGATTGTGTAGATGGGGAATCTAGAGGATGACTCATTTGTATCGTTCACCTCTGGGACATGTCCAGCTCACATTTCTTATCCAGCCCCTATTAATAGTTCTTACCTTTTGACTTGAGCACTTGCATTGCACTGGATGATGATCAAACTAGCCCTTGGACTAGCCATGTGTGAGTGGCTGCATCTCACAGCAACAGTTCATACACACAGTACACACACAGTGGTATAGTCATGATTTGCATGCATATAATATGGCTTGTTTCCACAGATTCTTTAATATGCCCAGGATACATCAGCTGGTATCCTATAATCATACCTTGCTCATGAATTTGCTACTGGATGTTAACAGAATGTACTGATGTTTTAAATTCAAGGCCTTTTTGAAGAGACTTGAAGCAGTGAAACCAACAGCTGGTATGAGGCGCTCAGAACAGCTCATGGATTATCAACGGCAGATGAGCTACCTTAGTGCATCTGCTCCCACTCCAAGACGAGGAAAGTCTGCTTTAAGCCACCATAGTCCGTCTCGTAAGTAATCCCAATGTGTTGTTTATAGAATTCATGGTTTCTATTGCATAGCAATGAATAATGCTTGCAAGTATAGTCACATGATCGGTGCCGCTTCCAGGTCTGAGGGCCTTAGGACAAGGCATCTTCAGAGCAATCCCTTTTCACTTAGTGGTTTTACGTTTTCCTCCCTATTGTCACCAGCTGCTATTGCTCCTCCACCTCTTTTTAAGCAAGCAAGCGAGCAAAGAACAGCTTGTCTGCTCACCACTTTCATTGTCTGGGCTAGCATGAGAAGCTGGTGAATAAACAAGTTGCAGTGATGAAGAGGAGGAGCAAATCCAAAGAGTTTTTTGTCAGTGGTGCCCCTGGCTCCTCAGTGGGTGACCAGCCATCTCTACCCTTGATGCCAGCTCTGTACAAAATCTGGCTCATCTTCATTCCGCTGTCTCAGCGTGATTTAAGTGTGAGAAAGCCCAGTACATTGTCCCACATCCAACTTGTCTTTCTCTGTGTTTGAATGCTGGTCTCATAATTAAATTTTGAAGTGCAGAAAAGTTCTGTGTTCAGTTTTCGCTAAGACAAATGCTATGGACAATGGGACTTCCAAACCGTAGCCTTCTGGTTAATGTTGAAGAGCCTTGACTATTTGTATACTTCTAGAACTTCTTTTGGGAAGGTACACACATTCTCATTTAGACTTTTTTTAGTACCCAGAGTGTAGTGGGTTACATGTGAAACAAATTCCATATTTCTTGATGTCATGGGGATGTCGTGGTAATATCCCATGACATTACTCCCAATCCTCAAAAGTTAAAAAAAATATATCCCTTTTTGTGTTTTGGACTCTAGACTCTGCAAGTGAGATTCTGTTCTTAAAAAGATAAATTTCTTGACATTTTCCTTTTATTGCTGTTCTCTGAGGGTTAAAAAAAATCATGATAATTGGGGGTATGTCAGGGACTAGGAAGACATCAGACAAGCCATTTTGTGCAAGTAGCAATCAATGCCTTCTGCTTAAGCAAGGAACTGTGCAGCTCCAACCCAGAAAGTGAGTAATATCAAGTGTACCCTGTTATTTTACTTCGAGGCATAACATGTAAGTCCCTTGCATAAATTTTAGACTGTGTTTAAACTGCAGAGTTTCCCCGTCACCTTGTTCATAATGTTTTCTCCATGTGCTTTCTGGCAGGAGGTGCTTCTCGAGCCTCCAGTCACAGTGCATCCAGTACAGCTAGCCGAAGGAGTGAAAGACCCATCTTTGACTCCTCCAGTGGTGCCCTGCAGCAACTGAATCCAAGTAACATCCGTGGTGCCTGGCTATAAATCATTTGTACCTCACCAACAGATTTCTAATTCCAATGTTTTTGCAGATTGCTGTAATTCTGTGCAAGAGTGTTGTAATATTCCTTGTTGATAATTAAAGGACCCTTGAAAGTGATATTAACTGCAGATGAACGTAATATTGAAAGGTGTGTTTGTTTCTGAATAGGCAGAATCTCTGCTATATTTGCTGGTCAGTACCTTCCCAGTCAGTATTGCCTCTTAACAAGATATATTTGTACAAGAATAGTGGTGACACTGTAAATCTTATTTATATTCTTCAGAACTCAAATGGATTTCAGATTTGATAACTAGAGCATTGATTTGCTGTACTTTTGGACGAGTGTAAAAAATGTGCTTTTCATTTTAAATTTTACAATAAAGGTGTGTTCCTAAATCTTGATTTTCTAATTCCTAAACTTGATTTCTTACAATTTAGCTGGTAATATTTTTAATTGAGTATATTTATTCAAAGTCTTTCAACATGAATTACACTATTGATGTTTAGTATATTAATTTATAAGTTCTTATAGAAATGGGGGACAGATCATATGTCATTCAATTCAACTCCATTACTTATTAGTGAATGTTGGAATAGTGAATATAAGTTGCAGTCCATTAAATTAACTTGTGTATCATAACTAATGTACTGAGTTTTATCTATTGTTTATCTATAATAACTTACCAAACTTTTCTTAATTAAACAAAGCTTTCCCTCTTTTGGATTAAATTCAGAACTTTGACAAAGCTTGTCTTAAGCAGTAAAAATTTAGACAACAGTGTGGAAAACAGTGATCTCTGTGAACTAGAGCTCTTTTGTCAATCATGTAATGTGACCTTTGGATAGTTCTGCTAGTGTAATATATTTGAGCAATTATACTGATGGAATTGTTCTTGTTTCTTAAAGGGGTACAAATGAAGAGCAATTTTGTGGATGCACTTTTAACTGTAAGCACTTTTCAATATTCCCATGACAGTTCCCCCCCCCCCTTGATAAAACCCACCATGTGTGCTAGTTTAAATAGCATCCTAATGTTATATCTGATTGGTTACGGAAGACTTTTAATTTGTATGTCTTTCTTTAAACCCTAAGTAAAATTATTGAATTATATACGTGTCCTTCATTGTGCTTCCTTTCTGTGAGTAATTTTATCGGATTAGCATAACAAGACATAATATATTGAGGGATTATTTAATAAGCCTGACATTGTTCCCTATTATTCCCTTTCTGATTCTAATTAAACATTTTCAGTAATGGTTACCTACTCCAGAATTCTCTGCAGGTTCTTAATATGGGAAATAATGCATTTTTAATGCCATATGCAATATAGGAAACAGCCCTTAGATGTGATAGTGAGCGCTAAATGTAAGTTTTGGATCTTCACAGACGTAAAGTTATAATTAAGTGCGACTCTATGTATAAAAGGAAATTTTAATTGAGAATACAGAGCTACATAGCTTAAAACCCATGGATGGCCCACATATAGGAGGTTGATTTTCATGGATATTGTCTTGCTGGATCTGATGAAATATTCAGCTGGCTTGGCAAGCCATCTTAGTGGCCAGTCAGATGGGCCATGGGGAAGCTGCAGAAGGGCATAATTATGGAAACCTATCAAGTTTGACTCAACTATATCTATTAAGAATAAAGATTCTAAGTAATGGTATCATTAAGTTTGTGTTTACCTATTTCAGAATATGAGCTTGCTCAGCTTGCTATACTTAGTTTCAGATTGCAGAACCATGGCCTAACATGTCCCGCCTAGGTCCTTAGTCCAGGCACAGAGGGGCAGGGGGGTAGAGCTTACTCTGTTTTCCGTAATTGGATCAAATAGTGGAAAATTGAGGAGTGTGGTTAGCATCTGGAGTTGCTTTGCAAGGTAACCCTACAGGGATGTCATGCACTATCCTTTCTCCTTGGTGAAAGAGACTGAAAAGGGCAGGGTGAGGATATAACTGGGCTCCCCACCCATAACTACACCTGCAGATATAGGAACAGAAGAAAATATCTTCAATTGAGTCAGATGTTTAGTTCATCTAGCTCAGTATTTCTGCCCTAGGCTGATCAATGCCTCTCCAGGATTTCAAATAGGGACTTTTCAAGACCTCCCAGGAATTGAATGTGGGACTTACATTGAAAGTTTTAGCCACAGAGCTATTGGTCCAGAATAATAACAGAAGATTATACAGCTGTGTCCAGTCAGTTTTATTTAAAAGTTATCTGAGCAGTCTGCAGCTAAACATGCAAAAATCTATCTCATTTCTCAAATGCTCAATATATCTATATTCCATTTTTAATATCAGTCCTTCCAATTCATCTGTCAGTTTTAAAATACGTTTCTATAGAAGCTCTCAGTGCTATCCTGCTAAAGTGCAGGACTTGCATTAGTTAACCCACAAAAACAAGATAATGAGCTGTTCCTAGAAACAAGGGTAATGGTAGATTTCACATTCTTGCTTTGTGTTTCAAAGATGTCTGTGTCTCTTTTGCAAGGACCAAGAATGCACAGATTTAGTGAATTGTACTGAGGAAAGTATTTCCCAACAGGCAGCAGGTGTTCTTGTTCGTGACTAAATGTCAGGCTGCAGTCTATTTTGGGGATAAATTGATTTAAAAAGTCATGCCAGCCTGTGGAAAAACATGCTAGTCTAATGGAACATCACTTTCCGGAACTGCATATAAAAGCAATCTGGGATGAAATGGGACTTCAAAGAAATACCTCCCTTATGCCTTGACCTCCAGTCAGCTTTGGGCCCAGTATAATTATGGTATATCTGTGTGGGAGGGAACTACTCTTCAATTTGTTTCCATGGTGCTCCAGACATTCATTATATCTCTGTCCATGGAATTCCAGTCGGTAGTACAGCTGTGAACCATATTAACTGCCCAAATCATTGCAGATGGAGGTTTTGGATGTAATGCCAAAGTGTGAGAGCCACCACATTAAAAAGGAACTTATTTAAGAGATGTGTTTGAAACTCCAAGGCTTACAAAGCAACTTAACAAGGTAGTATCTTGTTAATCCACATTTTGTGATGGTTCATGATGCCATCTTCATGAACCATCCATCGATTGCCTTCTTGAAAATGCAGCATCTGACCAGGGGGAGCAAGGGTGGTTGTGATGAATGAACCCAGTCATGATGGGTTGATTTTCAGTTAAACAACTCATAGTTAACCCACAATGATTTCTTGGGTTAATTACGGGTTAATGATTAACCCCTAATGTTCATGCTTGAATGACAAAAAAGAATTTTGAATGGGCCAGTCAAAGGTTGCATACTCAAAATGGTGGCAACACAAACCCAGCAAGTTCTGCATTAACCCACAATTTGCCATAGTTGTGTGTGAACCGAGTTGTCTGCTACTGCACTAGTAGTATAGTTTCACAGCAGTTCTCTGCTACATCTTCTGCAAATTAAGAGAACAAGCAATTTTCAGTAAAAAGATTAGAAATAAGCACCTTTTTTGATGCATTTGAAAATCAGAGTATATTGTTTTTAATTCGAGATATAGCTGGAAATAAAATAAGCTTATCTGCATATGGCAAGATACCAGGCATGTCTTCCTTTTGAGCAAGGAGCAGTAAAAATTTGAAAATGTTTTGCAGATAAAACTGGTAACATTTTGTCCAGTAAAGGCAATGCTTACCAATTCTGCAACTCATATTTATTACACTTGTATATCACTCTTCATCCAAAAACCTTAGAAAGGTTTTCATATGTCTCCAAGATAGCTTTGAAACCAGAAAAGTACCATATGCCATCCAACTATTTCACTAGGCTACCCATGCACAGAATGATCACACATTACATAACTGCACTGAGAGAAATATATTACAATAGAGCAACTTGTTCCCCCAACTCCACGAATTTAGACTGTGCAAAATTAAAGAGCAGCTAAAACAGACCTTCTCCAAGCTTTGCTCATACAGTGGAATGAGGTTTTAGTGTCCTGACAGTCTTGTACTACCTCCAAGTGCTAGTGAGAGAGAAGATTTCTGAAAATTTTCATGTCCAGAAAAAACATTCCCCAAAGTAAATGCAGCAGGACTAGAAATGGGGCTTGGCTTGACCCTTTCAACACATACACACACGGAAAGCATCTTGAAAATAGTAGCATTCACCCATGATCCAATGTTGTAACTTCTTCTCTGCTGCTACAGCATTCTAGCACCACATTTTCCTGCATACATATGTCAGTCAGACAATGTTTGCTTCATCAGTAACTAATTACAGCAGCTAGTGCATCCCTCCTTATTACTAACTAGCAAGGAGACCCAGTTTCACACAAGTAGGAAAAGCCCCTTTTTAATGCCTTCAGGCAAACTGGTTCCTGAAAAGTTAAGGACTGGTAAGGGAAGTCTACCAGATAGTGACTAAAAATGGTACCGAAGGGTTCAAATGTATGACATATTTGCATTAATTAAAATTAGTGCATTTTAAAAGTAAAAGGTCTCCATAGGGTCTCCATAGTATGCATGGCAATAGCTACATTTTACAGACTTGACATGATGATACTGACGACTCTTTTATTGCTACAGGTAAAATCCACCAGCCGGCCAAAGGTTTAAGTCCCATTAACTTAGGGCAGTTTCTTCTTTATTTACATCACTCCACATCTAACCGATAAATAAAAGATCAGCACAGATAAATCATGAATTTATTGCAATCAGTAACTCACACAAGTGCTTGACTTTGACACAATTGTGCTTGATAACTGTAAATCAAAGAACTGTACAAAGAAGGGAGTGATATCCTTTTTGCCAATGGTAAGGTCTGTGAGATAATGACTTAGAAAAAAAATTAAAAGGCTTGTTTTAATTCCTAAGTTTTAAAGTGCTAGTTTACAGCTTGAAATGTTTTCCCCACCCTTTCATTTCTGATAATGCTCACAGTTCCTAATTAGCAAAGGGCCTTCTAATGTGAAATCAAGGTTGGAAGTACTAGAAATGAGGAGAGCTGAAAGCTGTATATCAGCATAATAGCACATTATAAATTGTTCACTACTTGTTTTAGACTCAGATGTGTTGTACATTGCCATGATAATGCCTCTGGAGGCAATTAATTTAGCAAGATGCTCTTGTGGCTGTCTTCAGTCAGTACATAGCTTGGGATTTAAAAAGAACTTGATTATCACTGGAACCAAACATGTATCAAACAGCCCATTGCTTGAAGGTGAACGCACTTTGAAATCTTTATTTTTGTAATCAAATATTTGGTGTTAAAATGGCAAAAAAAGTTCCTAGAATCTTTTTTTTATTTGAACAGCATTTTTCCAACAACCTTTCTCAATTGTGTTTGTTGTGAGATTTTACTGAAGGGGGTACTTTTCTTTGGAGGTACATGGAATCACTATGCCTAAGCTCAACCTTATCCAATCCAGTACCCTCCAGATGTTGGACTACACCCACCAGCATACCCAGCACTCATGGACACACACTCAGGGACTGTCGCATTGCTGACCCACCTTATTTGCACTGCCAACATCCAATTATTTGTGGAAAAAGCACCTGTAAAGGGGGGCATTTTTCCAATTTCAACCAAGGATCTTCTTTATCTCCACTGAATAACTATACAGCAGAGGTGAATTGAATACAGAAGTCTTAACATCAAGGTTCAAAGATGCACTCCGTCATTTCTGAGATAATCTTTTTACTGCATGGGAGGGAACAGGCTTTACCCCTCACTAACCTTCCCTAACCTGGTGAAGAAGTAAAAATCAGATGTTTTGGACTTCAGCTCCCAACAGTCTCTGTCGGCACAGCCAATGGACAGGAATGTGGAGATTAATGTCCCAAATACATGGAGGGCACCAGCTTGGAGAAAGCAGCTTTTAATCTTTCCTTGAATGGGAAGCATCTCGCTTCCCATTCAAGGACACCTGGCTCAGAGAATTGCAAGGCAGTAACTTTCCATAGCCAGGTGCTCTGCAGATATGTCAGACTGCAACTCCCACAATTCCTAGCCAGCATGGCCACTCCAACACATCTGCATGGCACCAAACTGTGCAAGAGCACCTGCCAGATCAAGAAACCAGGCCCACCTCCATTGGCTGTAAAATTCCAGGTGTAATATTGCAAAATTGTCACATGCAGTGGTACCTTGGCTCACGAACTTAATCTGTTCCAGGACTCTAGTCGTGAATCAAATTGGTCATGAGCCAAGTTAAATTTCCCCATAAGGTTCAATGTAAATAAGGTCAATCCGTTCTGTAACTGTATTTTTAAATCAGAAAAATGTGAAGCAAAGTGACAACAACAAAGATCATGGCCATCTCCCCGCCCCCCCCCCCAAGATCGCACCTGCCATCCCTGTACATGCCCGTCATCCCTGCACACCCGTCATCCCGGTGCACTGGGGGATGGAGAGATGGTGCGATCATGGGCACACTGGGGAGAGAGACGGGTGCGAATGGGGCACACTGGGGAAGGGAGAAACAGGCACGATCTAAGCCATCTCCCCCCCTCCCCACCCCCAGCATGATCGCAGCCATCTCCCCACTTGGGGGCAGGGGGAGATGGCTGCGATTGAGCCCATCTTTCCTGCAGAAGCGCGCCCGTGATCATGCATGTCTTCCCTGCACGAAAGCAACTGCAATCGTGGCCATCTCCCCACTCAGGGGGTGGGGGGGGAAATGGCTGAGATCTTGGTCGCCACCCAATGCAGAGTTCATGACCCATGTCAAAATTTTCATGACATTTTTGTTTGCGACCCGATTTGGTCATGAACCAAGGCGTTCGTGAGCCGAGGTACCGCTGTACTTTACCTTTTTAAGCAATCCAGTCCTGAATGCCAGCTGGTATCGAAGCATGAAAAACAAGAAGGGACCATGTGTAAGCTTCCTTTGGAGTAGATGAAATGTTCCAGAATAACTGTTTTTGTGGACAAGGTATGTCCTTCCAAAAGGCAAGTACCAGCAGGTCCTGCAGTAAAACTTTGGTTGTGTACTCTGGGAGCATTCAAACTTGCCCCTTGTCAGAGTGCTTCAATGGAGGATAAGGAGATCCATGGCTACTAGTCATGCTGGTTGCACATGACTGCCACTACAGAGGCAGGATGCCCCTGTTTACCAGTGGCAGAGATGCATGACTGGGACTGTGCTCTGTTGGCCTTTGGACTTATCCAGCATGGCTCTTATGAGCTCCTCTGCACCTTCAAGCACCTCCCTAAGCTTCCTCTGCTCCAGCCCCAAGATCTCACATCAAACTGAGCCAGATGCTTGCAGAATGCCTTCTGGAAGACTGTCATGCAAGCCCTACCACCAACCTGCTTTGGGGTGACAACCTTGGGAAATGCAGTTTCACTGGGAGTAGCATCAACTTCTTTTGGTGACTTTTTTGTAGCAGAGTCAGATTTTTGTACTCTTGCAGACTTTGGTAAAGTTTACTGATACCCTCCTGGCAAGTCTCCCTCTTACTTGCAAGTGAGTGGTGCTAGTTTTGATACCTGGAAGCACGGACACTCTACGTTGAACATCAGAAATAATTAAAAGAAGCAGATGTCAATGTGCTGCAAGCAACGAGAATCAAAGTTACACACTTTTAAAAGGTGATCTGTAATCCATCAAGGCAGAGATTTAAATGGCCTATCACTGATTCATTTTCAGTCAGTTCAGGTTGCCTCTGTCATTTCCTGTAACTGTACAAGCAAAATAAAATTGATACCCTGGCCATACAGGATGCTACACCGATGTAACTGTTGCAAGCAAGACTCCTCATTAGATTTTACACTCACCGTTTCAAAGAGGTGGCTAGAGTGTTCCATGTGGTGTAATAAGAATAAATACCGTAACATAATTGATGCTAATATTTTCTATCTGTATAATCCACACAAGCACTGATGTGGTCTTAGTCTCACAAATGGAAAAACATAGTTTCTTTTAACCAATTCACTGTGTGATGACAGGAGTAGGTCCCACTTTCTTAGTGGCATAACAACTGCTTCATTCATAGCTGATATACTGGGTGCCCTGATTTATTTTTTGCATTTCCCAAACAAGAGTTCTGAATGGTGAATGTGTTGGGGAGAACAATCCTATTGCCCCTAGGCAGCACCTAGAAGACCATAGGATATTTCAGAGTCCCACTTCCAAGATCAGAAAGCAGCTTCAACTTAGGGGGTTTCCCCCCCAACCTCTCAGCTGGTTGGAAAAGCAACCTTGAAGATGGGTGTTATAAGGGGTAAGGTGGGTAGCAGATAGGGTCACCAATCTACAATGTATCCTGGTTGCACCCCAGGCTCCTTTCCCCGCTGTCAAAATCAGCCTCTTATAGAAAGAGGCATCTTATTCTCCACACTCTTCTTACCTTTTGTAGGATGCCCACAATCTTCTGAGTTTGGAGCCTTAACAGGCATCTCCACTGGATCACATCTTAAGCCTTATATCTTTGTTTTCCTGATAGTAAATTCCATTTGGGCAATTCAAAATGATGCTGGTATAAAACTTAACTTCTCCCTTCCCTTCCCCATTTTCTTGCACTTTCTTAAACCAAGAAAAACTCAGTTACCTATTATGGTTTTCATGCCCTTTCCCCCTAAATCATAAATTTTTGAGATATAATACTCTGCTGTTTGATGGGGCTCTCAGTGATGATTTGGTGGTTCCCTAGCTTATGTGTAATTCTTGTCCTCTTTTAAAAGGTTGAAATTCCTCTCCTGAAGCATTTGTACTACCAGTAAAAGCATAAAGCTAAACTCTGTTGGTATTTCCTGTCCCTTCACCATTTGCCTTCAGTCCCACCAAACACTGGAATGTCCTCCCACCATGCCAAGTTTCTCTGACATGAAATTCAGCCCTTGAACTGAAAGAAGTGCAACACCCCTCAAAAAAGCATTTGGACCAGAGCTTATGACAAGAACATCTGTGGACAATATAAGTATGAAATATATATACAGTATATATGTATATATATGCATGCCTATGTTCCAAATGCCATTGTTCGTACAGAAGATCTGCCATGGAGGGTAAAAAAATCTGCGAGTTTTGACTTCTAGTATTTATTGCATTCACATTTCTAATTCTGCAAATACCATGTAACAAGCTGTCTTCCAGAAAGGCACTTAAAACATAGGAATATATTACTGATATTTGTCAAATATATTTATACATACACAGAGGCCTCTTTGATTTTCCATACAAAATGTTTTTGTGATCTTATGAACAACCACCTATCTATCTTCCCATAGTGACCTGATCTCTCAACTGGATTTGACCCCCAGTAACCATCTCTGTTTCCCTAGGAAATATTTAGTTGCCCATTAAAACCACATGTAGATACTTTACAAAAAACCCAAAGATCTGAATCAAGCAGTTTGATTCTCTTAAACAAATTTCTTGATTTCATCATACAAGACTAATACAAAAGCACCACCCATTCCTCTCAGCACATTGGACCAGGCGCCTTTGAAAAAGGCCTTGCCTCCTTCATCTTTTGCTATCTTCTTCCAGCAGTCAATTGTGCCCTTGTACATGATTTCAGCTGTGGAGAACAGAGCAATATAAGTATATATCTATAGGTCAATCATATTGTATACAAATATCTTACCCATAAAGTGCAAAATCAGTGTTCAGTCTCCAACCCTCAAAACACCTAGAACGCTTTCCTCTACTCTTACATGTTCAACAGAATGGAAATGAAACAGTATTTTCCCCTCTCAAGCATATTTTAAATGTGTTGATAGATTCTGAGATGGACGGATACATTTTCCTTTTCTTTTTTTAAGGAACATGCAGGGGTGCAGGACTATCTTCTATGACTCACTTCTTTTGACATCTCTTTCAAAGATTATCAACTTTCTGGAACATGGTCCAGTATTCCTTCAGATAATCAACAGCTGGCCCTTTTATCAGTTCAGTCTAACTAGGTGCAGGTGTGTCACTCTTTTCCCCCCTCTCTTGTGGCTAGTCCAGGTAAAAGGCTGCAGAGGCTTTGCTCCATTCTGAATAGGGTTCAGTTCATAGCTGGATGGAATCATATTCTAGACCCTGCCGATTAAGGAAGTAAGGGCTTTGTGCATTTCCCCAGAGACTGGGTATGTGTGGTGCTCATGCAAGACTGATAGCATGAAAACAAAGGTTACAAACTCCCTGTTTAATTAATATTTGCTTTTCTCCTCATTAAGTTGGAAAGTGTTTATGTTTTCTGTCCAAGACTGCAGGAAAAGAGGTTTCTCTTCCCATGTGACCTAACCATTCCAGAATATGACCAAAATTATCCAATCTGGACTGTGCTACATGAAGGCGCTTGTGGACTCTTCCAGCTCCATTGTATTGACTAAACTCACAAGCAGTACTCTGATCAGACAAACGTAGATAAATATAACAGACAGAAGCAGTGCAATACTACCAAGGCATTTTATTACTAAACGAACAGTTCTTGTAGGCAGCAAACAAAAAGCTGCTCATAGAAGTAATAGTAAGGTTGCAACATTATATGTGGCTACCTGGGAGTAAGTCCCCTATGATGAATGGGGTTTATTTCTAAGTAGATGTGTGTAAAAGTTGCACTGCATGTCAAATTGTACCTGCTTCAGTTTTAATTCATCCGAAAGGCAAGCACTCAGTTATAGGTCTACTATCTCTCCCTGATCTTTTGAAAAAGAAAAATCAACTCATCTGTTTCAACAATTTTGAAAGAAAGGGTTCTTTTCTTACCTCCTTTCCTCCCAGACTGCATCATCATCCTACGTCGGACCGTGTCAAAGGGGTAGGACACCAGCCCTGCTACTGCAGTAACTGTCTGGGCTATCATCCAGCTCACTATGATGTGCACATTCTTTGGATCAGGCAGCATACCTGTCATCAAGACCAGATTACCCAAAGTCATTGGGAAGAAGTACTGGGGAGAAGTGATCAGTATTACTTTACCTCATTTGTGATACCATCTGAACATAGGATCATGGCTTCCACATTCATGGCATGCAACTACCACAGAGTCCTCTGAAAAGAGTGGCAACTGCAGAAGCTGCTTCAGCCATCTAGCTGCTATGTGTGGACCAGTGAGGAAGAGCCAGGTGGCACAGGCAAGGAGCAATGCACCTTGGGATTGAATTTTGGGCGCAGTGGCTGATGGGATACATGCCAGCAGCGGGAGGACTGAGCAGGCAGTATGGAAGGCATGATGAAGTAAAAACCACTTGATCCTCTGTCAGGCAGATCATGAACCACAGTCACCACAGAAGGTTGCTTATTGCATTGTGTGAACGCAGTCAATATCTATCAATATCAACTACAGCAGAATTGGAGGACAAGTAATTTTACATTGTTGCTTGAAAGGAGAAATGAACATAGATTTCAGATACTTTGGAGTGCCTTGAACAGCCTATCCCAAGCTGACTAGAGGATGCTCGAGTTGTAATCCAGGGCATTAACAGGACATTGCATTGTGGAAGTTCTGAATGAGATTTGTGACTTTATCACATACTAGGTTCATTTGTACAATCATTATTTATAGAAAAATAAAAGTGATCCAACCCCAGAATGTTCTTTTCCCTCAGAGACACAAGCAGAACAGCCCATTAATGGAAGAGTCCACCCTTCCTCTAAGAAGCTTAGGATAGTAAATATGGGATCAATTCACCTGATCATAATGACTCTGTGAAATTAGGATACACTGATGACAATCCTCTTCCTATGGAAGTAAATCTCACTATATTCTGTAGGTCTTACTTCTGAGCAACCATGTATAGAATTGTGCTGTCACTGAACTTTGTAACTGAGCAGGCATTTAAACCCAGAACAAGGCCCAAATCCAGCATTCTAGCCACTATACAGCCTTGTCCCAAGACTCTACAACCTAGTGGAACTACATGTCCTTTGGTCAGGAAATCTCCTCTTGAAGCTAAAGGATTCCCAACAGTATTGCTCACTTAGAAGAGCTTCCAGTGGTATGAGAATTATTAAGAGATTCAGGGAGTTGCTTAAAGGCCACTTAGGCAGATTATATGAGGAGAGTACAAGGGCAGGCTGGAGTATTTGAGCAACAGAAAATGGGAAAGCTTAGATTTCCAAACTGCCTAATTTCTAAGATTATTATTATTATTATGCTGGTAATTAGAAAGAGAAAAACAACTGCTCAGTGTTTAGCTTTTGAGCCTCTTTGACCTTGATTGCAAGAGTTGAACAGCTATATGAAGTTACCAAATTACGACCAGACAAATTAAATCTTTGAAAAAGTATGGATAAGAATAAAGTGGATACTTAGGCTATACATATTTTGGAAAGAAAGGGGGAGAATGGTAAGGAAATATAGTAATCTATTAAGCTAAGGATGATCCTAATCTTTGGAACATGTGCAAATCTTTTCTAATCCCATCAGGTCAAATGTTACACTGCAATCCAAGCATAGTCTGTACCAGCCTTGGTGCCAGTGTCAGCTCCAAATTTTGGAGGGCCCTTGGACAAGACATCCTCGATAGGCAGCCTGCCTGAGTGAGTCAGCTGTTCTGACTCCTCCTCTTCTCTCTCATCATTACTCCCACTTCTTTGCTTGGCAGGCAGAGATCCAATAAGCAAGCAGGCAGAAGCATCTGCTGCACCTCCTCCTCACCACCACTTTGGACAGAGCAGAAGCAAGTGAACAAGCAAGTTGCAATGGGGAAGATGAGGAGCCCTGCTGCAATGTGGGCCCTCAGCAGATTCCTACCCATGCTTCCCTTTGCATTGGTCCAGCCTGGTGTCATCCCGATGCACCGGACTACAACTCCCATCCTACCTAGCTAGTATGACAACTGGGGAAGCATGGGAAGGCTGGTCTAGACAGTATCTGGCCACTTTCCGGAGCTATACCAACACCAGCAGTCCTCCCCTTCTTACCCTTAGCTGTATCATAGATGCCAAAATAAGCCGCTCTGTAGATGATGATGCCTTGGACCGACACATTGAATCCCAAGTAGAGGCCTCTAAGGCCATCCGATTTGTAGATCTTGGCAAGACAGTTGCCTAGCCCACTGAACTGCCTCTCATGCAGGCCTTTGCCCACATCAGCAGCTAGCCTGGTCCTGGCAAAATCCAGAGGGTAAACGAAGCAGAGCGAAGTAGCTCCTGCAGCACCCCCAGAGGCCAGGTTGCCTGCAAAGTAACGCCAGAACTGCTTGCGCTTGTCCACACCCCCAAGGAAGATCTGCTTGTACTTGTCCTTGAAGGCAAAGTTGAGGGCCTGGGTGGGGAAGTACCGGATAACATTGGCCAAGTTGCCTCTCCAGAAGGAAATGATGCCCTGCTCCTTGGGGATTCTGACCACACAGTCTATGATGCCCTTGTACTGTTTCTCAGCTGTGATCTGTTGGCTGGCATGTTGGACCTGTTAAAGGAAGAAGAGAGGCACAGAGGGAGAAGGAAGGAGGGAAGGAGGGAAGGAGAAAAAGATCACGATGACCCATGTCACAGTACACCGCTTCTCTGTGAAGGAACAGCCAGTCATCTTTGCTCTTGCAGCCTTATCTTTAACTATCATTCACTACTCAAGCTGACCATCTGACTGAGATTAATACCACTAGATACAGCATAAAAACAGCACAGAGCATGCAACTATGCTAACTTATTTATTTGAGAATGGATAAATGCACATCTAAGAAATGTAGCTGCTCAGTTTTCCATGGTCATTTCATTATGTTTTCCCATGTGACAGTCTCACTAGATTGTGTGCTGGCTCCATTTCTCCATTTCTTCTGTTACAACTATTTATTAAGCCAAGGTAATTGGGTACATACACAATATGAAACAGGGGCAACACTATTTCAGCAGGGGCAACACTATTTCACTATGTAGACACAAGCAGCTTTCCTGCCATCTGTGTGACCCTCTCAAGAACTCATGTCCTTCAGCTGACCTCTGCTCCACTATCAAGCCACTGATCCTAGCAGCAAACCACTTTTAAGCACTGGTTTATTAAAAGGAAAGAAACTTCCTTAATAATTGGTGCAAGAAATAATTATATGTCCAGTGGATTTTTGCTATAATTTTTTCAAAGTTTGAGTTAGTGGATATAAATGGCAAGTGTTACGCACAAAGACATACAGAACACCCAAGATTTGAAGCTATTTCACTTGCAAATCGTTAGCTATAAACCAGTTAAGAAAAAAGAGCTGTGCTTGACTTGTGTAAGCAGAACTGTCCAAGTGGTGTTTCCATATTTAGCCACTTCAAGCATGTGCCCATTTGACACTAGAATCCCTGCTCGCTCCCAAGTCTCAACTTGACACTTTCAACTCCATGCAAGAAGACTTAAAGGCACAGTCTGACACTTTTTAGGGACTGTTATTTGTCATTGCTTATCACTGCCATCACTTCCTAAAAGGAATTCCTGAGTTTGGAAGGCCAGCCAACGTTTTGCTGTCCCTGCCTTTTACATTTTGGAGAATGCCACAGAACAATGCAACCATTCCAGGAAGCGGTGCCGGCTGAAAAACCTGGGCTGCTCCCCCTCCCCGCCCTTAATCTCTCTATGCAAATTGAGAAACCCAAGCCCCTTACCTGTAGCAGCAATTTCACTCTCTCGATAGGCGCTACAGCCGTTTTGGAAATAGCAGCAGCAATGCCACCAGCCAAAAAGTCCTTAAGAAAACTGAGAGCTTGGTCAGCCATGATGGGGCCAAATCAGAGTGACACACCAATCCCCCCTCCCTGAAAAAAAATCAGTAAATTCGGGAGCTGTCACCGGGCACCACCCCAGCCAGCTGCACCCCCCCAGCCTAGGCACACTGTGTCCCAATGGACAGACCTGTCCCTTTCCCAACTATTTATAGCCCCTGTGGGTCTCGCGATAAGAGGAGGGTCTGCAGGGGGCAGATCCGCGCGCACATTGGCTGGGACCCCCTGCCACCCTCAGAGGGCACTGGGGCAAAGACGCCATGCTGCTGCTTCCCGAAGGGGAAGCCCTGGAGCGAGGGACGCCGGCAAGGGCAAAGTAAAGTTATCTGCGCGCTCTTGGAGAGCGCTATGTCACGGCATGTGCCCGCTGTATTAATAGCACGGGGGAGGCGCGGAGGAAGCTAATATTTAGGCAGAGGAGTTAACCGTTTGACGAGGACGACGGCATCCTTGCTAAAAGCCCAGGCGAGGCCAAGCCAGGCCATGCCAGGCGGTTAGCCGAGGCAGGGGACCTTGCGGAGGAAAGGTGGCAAACGAGGACATTTCCTGTCGAGGAAGGCTTGGTCCTGCCCAGAAGGGATTGTTTATATATTGTGCTCTTGATGCACTTTTAGAAAATATCTTTACCATTCCTCACGAGGAATTCTGGGAATGGAAGATTCCCTACTTTTATGCATACAACAACCCTGCGATGTAGGCTAAGCAAAGAGAGTGCACGACTGGCCCAAAGTGTGTCTGGAACTGGACTCAGTTTGTCTTCCCAGTCCATGTTGGATTCCATCCCTCACTGGCCCCAATATAGGTGGACAAAATAGATAAAATTATATGCAATTACATGTGCATGAACAAATCTTAATAACTGTATGTTTTCCCTGATTCCAATAAGTAATTCCTACCGAAGGCAGCTGGATCTCCTTCCTAGTAAGTCTTTCCTAGGACTGAAGTCATAACTCAAGTTGCTACTTTGTTTTCTTCTGGCAGGGCTCCTGTGCCTTAATTTATGAACCACATACATGAACTAGGTAAAGCTTTCCCATCTTTATACCTCCATGCCAGGGAGTACTTCACCTGTTAGGTTTCTTCTGCCCTGTGTTGAGGCCATATAGTTCACTCTTGCCTACTCTACCTGGCAGCAGCTTATCAATGTCTCATGCACAGGACTTTCTTAGCATGCTACTGCAAACTTTTAAGAGACAATGCTAAGGACTGAATCTGTGCCCTGGCTCATGATGTCATGTGCTCTGCCACTAAGCTATGGCTCCCAGCATGTGCAGTTCTTTTTGTCTAATAATTTTGTTAGCATATACCTGGTTGCAATTGTGCCCATATTTAAGATACTGATTTTAGGATCAGAATTTGGGGGAAGAGAGCAATGGAAAATCTTGCAAAGTGCAGTGCAGTGACTTTAAAGTTCAGCTGAGAGAGAGCCTTTTAGTTGGCAGAAGCATCTCTTCATGCATGGACATCATGAAGAGTTCATTCTTTTTTCCTGGTAGTGTCTTGTGAGGATAGCCATTGCATGTGACTGGAGCACAGATGTCACTTCTAGATGAGAAGGGGGCTGGGGCTGGGGATAGGGAGGGGAGGGGACAGGACAGGAAGGAGAGGAGAGGAGAAGAGAGGATTCTGGACCTCTGAAACACATGACTAGGAAAGTTCATAATGCTGAATGTGAACGCTAAGGGCAGGAGGTACTTGCATACAGTGGAACATGCTTACCGGTTGACATCATCAAGCTCGTGGATGTAATAAAATACACTCACACATCTCCATCTGCTTTATTTGCTGGGCAGGCATTTTCACACAAGAAACTGTGGCTATGCTATTAGGTGCATTTATGCAGGAGTACACACTGCAGCACTCAGTTGAAACAGTTTCCGAGCAAAGATGCATAATCTCAAGCTGCATGCTGCTTTTGGAGCCTGCCCTGACTGACTAAAACTGTACAACAGTGTTCTGTTGTGCATTCATGTAAAATACCAGAGGTTGGGAATCTCAGTCCCAGAGGCCATATCCAACTCTTCTGGAGTTTCAAGACTCTCCTTGGTTCCCCAGTTGTCTGCACCCCCTTTCCCCAGTCCTACCCCCACCCTTTCTCCCAACTACTAATTATTGGTAGGTTTTATGTAGTCTCCACTAAGGTTTACTTAGTGCAGTAAGAGCTTTAAAGCAGAATCCTATGCATGTTCAAACCAAAGAAAGTCCAATAACTTCCAACTTTCACCTGCAATGCTGGGCATTTCAGGACCTTCTCCTGGATTGCACCATTATACTATGATATGCTGAGTTTTTAAAAAATGACTTACCCCAAAGACTTAGCGCCTTCAATTTAGTTGACGAAGATTCAACACCTTCTACATGTAGAAATGGAAACTGATGCTTTCTTCCCTGGCTTGATAGCTTTTTGTGCATCTGACAGCAGCTTAATATATAAAATCAGCAGGAGCTGCTGAGAGTATGGAGACAAGTATTAATGCCTACAAACATCAACACATTAAACTGCTGTTAAGCAGCAGGGTCACCCAAGCAGCAGCAGAGTCACCCAAAGTGGAATAGTCAAAGCTGAGACACCAAGATGCATCCACCCTCTTCAGATGGGACAGTCACATCAGCAGAAGATAGGGGATAACTAGAATGGAGTTAGGGGCAGAAAAACTACTGAAGGGGAGCTACTGGGCAGCAGCAGTAGTTGAAGGCAACACTGGTGGAGGATCTTTCACTGACAAACAGCAGTGATTCTCAGGTTAACTCCGGTTATTACTGCACAGAAGAAGGAAATGGCAAACTACTTTGGAATATTGCTTATCTTGCAAGCCCTATGATGAAACAATCCAAAATGAAACAAGAGATAGTGTCAGAAGATGAGACTACTAGGTCATATCACAAACAGCTACTGGGAAAGAGCAAAGGACAAGTATGAATAATGTAGTCATTAATGATGCAATTAGATCAAAGCTGAAAGATGTTTAGTGGCTGACATTCACAGAGATGAAAGGAAAGTACAATTCTGAACAGTACATACAATTGGAACATGGAATGTGAGAGTTATGCACCAAGGCAAACTGGAAACTGTAAGCAAGATATGCAATATATCACAGTACTTGGTGCAAGTGAACAAAAGTGGACTAGAATGAGACATTTTTAGTCAGGCAAACTCAAAATGTTTTATTCTGGAAATGACAAACTCAGAAGAAACAGAATGGCTGAAGCAAGATGGTTTTGGCTTCCCAGACTCTTTGCAGTAGCCCAGAGTCCTGGCAAGTGTGGCCAGAGTTTATAGAGCGCTTGCCAGCAATCAAACCCCATGTGCTACACACTTTCAAACAGAGGATTACCTTTTGCCAGCTCTTCAACTAGTGGATTGTCTTTTGTAAATTATCTGTCCAGATTTGTCTATCCCACCAGGGAAGTTTTCAATATTTACCAGAGGTTCAGGCTTTGAATTACATATTTTGGTACTGTACAGGCTTTTCTTTTATTACACCTTAAATATAAAACAGTCATTGCTAACAGAATATAGCCAATCTTTTACGTTCCTACATGTTGAATAGTTTCATGTAAGTGGCAACAGCTTATCTTGTAAGGGTAACCAAAGTTCTTGCTCAAATACTTTTCTCATTTTATAACCATTCATTGATGTGCAAGAGGCCCTTTTCTGGTGGATCTCGCTACCCTAAGTAATCCCAAGTCAATGGAGTTTCAGTGGCAGAGGACCAGGATAAATGAAAAAGGAGGCTTGGGGTGTATCCAGTGTTAAGTATAATTTAAGTCCCATGGCTTTCAGTGGATCTACTCTAAATAAGACTAAGACTGGTTATGATCCTTTTTTGAAAAGAAATGGGAGGGTATTTACTTGGCGGTTGATTTACTACAAATCAACTTCCCCTCAGTTGATTTGTTGATTTGTAGATCTCTAAGCAAATGTTGACTTATTTTGGCACTGGCCTTTTGAAGGGGGCTGACTTTTCATCTGAATAAAGCAAGAATTAAGGGCATCAACTGCCAGGGTGACTTAAAAATCATGCTGCTGTAGTAACTGGATTCTGCCTCTGTTATAAGGTGAGTGACCTGGAATAACCTTGCAACTTATTCACTGTAATAGAATCACTGCAACAAATCTTCAGAGACACTAATTTCAATCCAAGACGTTCTTCACTATAACAGCTTTCTGCTTCTACTGTGGAGGATTACTATTAGAAAAACACTTTAAAAAGTGTTTTGGAAAAGGTTCCTTCTTCTTAGCAATTCCTTTCCTAGTTTATTCCTGCCGCTAAAGGAGTAAATTTTGTTCTCCAGTTATGTTGGTGTTTGCCAGCATTTCTGTTGGGAATGTAGCAGTAATGAAATTGTCCAACAGACTAAGGGTGCAATTCTTTGCATGCTTAGACAGAAGTCCAGCACTTCCAACACAGCTGAGAATTGCAAGATTCTTTTACTGTCATGCATAGGATTGTGCCTAATACACCTATTAAATGGAGTGATAAGATCAACTCTTCTCAACAAAGAAGGAAATTGTATGAAAATGCTGTCTCTATGATTATATGTCAATGTAAATTACTTCTCTCAGGGGTTGCCAACTTATGATGTTCCAGATGTTCTGGCCTACAACTTCCATCAGTCCTAGCCAGCTAGCTACTGATGAGGTTTTCTTTTTCTTTTTTTTAATTTGCAAAACCAGCAGTAATACCTCCCCCCCCCCCCCCCTCCAAAAAAGCCACACACACAAATACACAAAGACAGGGAGGACTACAAAGGATGGGAGAGAGGAAGAGGAAAAGGAAAGAAAAAATGGCCACGCGCAGTAATCATGCATATCACCCCTAACATAAAATAAAAAGAGGAAAATAATTTAAAGCTTCAATTTCCAAAATATACATTAAAGTGAGCATTTAGAATTAAGTTCAGGCTTCCCTTCCTTCTCGTCATTTCTATCACCAGCTCTTTATCTAGAAATGTCCCCTCTTTGTTGTGATTGGAACACACATTCATTTGGTCAATGTGAGCATAATTGAAACCAGCAATTATTTGAACATTCCAAAAACATTCCAAAACTTTTGGCTTTCTAAAGATGCCCTGTGTGATCGCTTAAGGGCAAGGATGCGACTACGGTGATAAAAG